CCACCGCCGCCGCCGCCGCCCCCGCCGCCGCCGCCACCGCCACCACCACCACCACCACCACCACCACCACCACCACCACCACCACCACTACCAGTTGTCATGGAATGCCTGACTGGAGCAGACCGGCTTGAAACACCCAAACCCAGACCTTTGCAAGTCTTATAAGGAATGTAGAGAAAGTGTCCGGCCATAGATTGACACTATTCGCTAGGTCATCCCACTTTCCAGTAACAGCTACCAAATTTGGTAATAGGAGACATAATAACCCCTTACTTAAGACCTTTTTGGGACACTTACTGTAAGGGGCAATACTCCAAACTATTCATCATTCACGTTTGCGAACTTCTCATACATGACGAGAGGCCGTCATTGTCAGCATCCATGGCCTCAATTGTGATAAAGTCTCAAGCGTTCGTTTATGATAAGACAAACAGAGTAGAAGTAGTAGCAGGAGTAGTAGTAGCAGTAATAGCAGATTATGCTCCCTTATTCTCTTATTCCCTAAACCCTCAACCCTAAATCCGTCCTCCCTACTAAAACCAGCAAGCAAGGGCTGAAGCAGCGTCACCTCGGCCATTCTGTTTCCTTTTCTTCCTTTTCCAAAGTCAAAGTCTAAAGGTTGGTGCCCACAGGATAACTAGGGCGGTTTAGCGTTTAGGGTTTAGGGCTTCAGGGTTGAGGGTTAAGGGTTTATTACCATTACTTAGGGTTTGGGGCGGTCATTTTGGCTTTTCAAATTAAGGAAATCGGGGTACCCCAAGTAATGGTAAGTTTATATGGGCTTGAGGGTTTAGGGTTCTAGAAAGGCCTTCCCCCCCATGGCATGCCGAGACCCTGGGCCCTTTGACATGAATCACCCTTACGCTCTAAACCCGAGACCTATACAAATCCTGAACCTCGTTGACATGTGTCTCCCCGTTTGGCTCGCAGCCAGGGTTGGCAGCAAAGGCTTTATTCACGCGGTTTGAGATTTAGGGTTTAGAGTTTAGGGTTTGGAGTTTAAGGTTTAGGGTCTAGAGTTTAGAGTTTAGGGTTAGGGCTTAGGGTTCCAAGCAAGGAGCGGAGAAGAACGAAACGAAATTCATAAGCCCCTGCGTCGTCAGTCTGGCTTCGTGAAGCTGGAGACTATCCAGGCTTATGCTACCCGAACCCCTCAACACCGAATTCCTAAAACTTCAAACCCAGAACAACTCCAATTGCACCCTGCAACCCCTAAACCCTCAAACCCCTACTGTAAACCCTGAACCCCTGAAACTCCTATCCATCCTAACCCCTAATTAAACCCTAAACCCTCCTCCTCAACCCTGGCGTGCTTCCCAGTAACCGCATAGAGGAGTTTGATCTTGGCCTCAGTCATGTTGCCGTTCAAGGACTTCATCACCTGAGTGCGTGGCTTAGGGTTTAGGGTTGGCTGAGCCAAGTAAGATTCTATTCTAGGGTTTAGGGTTTAGGGTTCAGGGTCTAGGGTTTAGACCCAGAAGAGGATATGATCTTGCTCCATACTGGGTACCATCGTATCCCCAAAACAAAATACTGCTCATCTGAGTTGCGACTTGGGAATATCTCCGGTTATCCGTTCAAGCGGCGTATTGGGAGTATGTAATGTCTTATTTCTGCATACATATCTATACACGGGGTGGTATATGTGGACGTAGAGAGAAGTTAGCGTTGCAGTTTTCAAGGGGTCTTCGGCTAGGGCTACACTAAACCCAAGGCACATGAGAGGATTAGGATTGATACGGGATTCATGTATCCCCAACTTTTATCTGTCATGAGGACCATTTAACCATCACATGACAAAAATATAGGGTCCCATTTGTGGAGATATGGGCTGCTGACATCATCTTCTTCATGATCGCAATGAAAAGCCTGCTTCAATTCCTTAACAGCAATGTCATGGGCTTTTCTTTAGGATGATTTCGAGGCTGCTCTGGAGAACTCCCATGCTTTGGTGCATTTAGGATTTAGGGTTGAGACTCTGTGTTTCACGGTTTATTTGTGGCTTCCATATGCCTTATATTTACAGTTATAATGCATCAGGCATGTTCTGTTCGACACGCATGCAACACACTGACCAACAAGCCACTTTGTCAGACCTCGCATAGATCCTAATTCTCAAACCCCTCTGCTCAACGCATATATGAGCCACAAGTAGTCTACAAGGATAAGCAATAAACACCGGTTCTTTAGACAACAAAATTCATGGATCGTTTGCCGTTGCATTCTGGTCGCATTCTGTATTCTTTGCGATTTGCCGCCTGGCCCTGAATGTTTCGCACATCCAGATATTTTGAGACCATGTGAAACACAAAAATGGAATTTGCAAGTAATGAAGAAGAACGGTGTTAAACAGGGTCCATGCTCCACTAGTTGCTTTCAAAGCTGTAACTGAACCCTAAACCCTAAATCCAAACCCTAAACTCTAACTCCTAAACCCTAAATCCTAAACCTTAAACCCTAAATCCTGAACCCTAAACCCCAAACCCTGAACCCTAAACCCCAAACCTTGAACCCTAAACCCCATAACCCCTTGGAGTGAGTGCGCTTGGCTTGCAGCTCATTCCTGCATGGTTTTCAGGAATCCGCTGGACGTTCAGGCATTTCAGCTGCGGTATAGAGCTTAGGATTTTGGGATCAGGTTTAGGATTTAGGGTTTAGGATTTAGAGTTTAGGGTTTAGGATTTAGGGTGTAGGATTTAGAGTTTAGGGTTTAGGATTTAGGGTGTAGGATTTAGGGTTTTTAGGATGTAGAGTTTGGGGTTCTAGGGTTTAGGATTTAGGGTTTTGGATTTGGGGTTTGGGGTTTAGGGTTCAAGGTTTACCTAGGTAGCCAGGCAACCACAAACAAAATGGGTGTTCCAAAACAACCTACTTCTGCGTAGCGACCTCAAATACAACAACTGGCCGTCGGTTTAGAAGCGTGTTTTTCTGTTTTTTGTGGTTCGCAGGTAGGATTTGGGAATTCATAGCTGCATGAGACTTTGCCAAGATCCCTACGAAATTTATGTTGTCGATGCAGGGCGGATTACACTCCAACTTCCTTTTTGGAATGCTTTCTCGCTAGGGCAGCGATTGGTTTCAGACTTCCTCAAATCAACGGAACTCAACAAGATATACATATTTGGTAGGCACAACATTTTACTACAAACCCTGCTTGGAGCTTCTACTCTTTCAGCGAAAAATGTTGAAAAGCCGGCGCCAAAACGCAAAATCTCCTGGAACCCTGCGTAGTGCCTCTAGGGCCTAGGACCCCCACGCCGAAGAACTCGCGCTTGGAAAGCTTGCCGTTTCCATCTTTGTCCCAAGCACGAAAGGTGGCCTGGATTGGTTCTCGGGGCCAGGATTTGGATTTTGGGGCTTTACGGTGAAGGCTTCGTGTCTGGGTCTTTACTGACAGTTTGGGGTCTAGGGCTGAACCTGAAATGGACAGAACAGAGTTCACCCAAACCTCCAAAATACCCTGCTGAACCTACAAATAATCCCCCCTCTAACCCCTTTTAAGGAATCCTATCTACCTTAGGAGGACCCCCCACCCTGTAATAGTGGTATAATAGGAATATGAGAGGACCTTAATATAATCCTTACTATTCGTTATAGTCACTATTACTGGGTGGGGGGTCCACCTAATATCTACCCTTAACTGCATGAAGGCGCCAGGAGCTTTAAGCCTTTCTTCTCCACAAGTTATGCAGGCCATGAACGTAACAATCAGTGATTTATGGGTGGAACGCTTCCTGGAGCGTATGAAGCCAGATCACCACTGGTTCCCTATTGGGATACTTTTAAAGTTTTTGCTTCGTGCTCCACATTGAAGTTCACCCAAACCCTTCATCAACCCCAAAAAGCATAGTAACATCCATCTCATTTTCCGCGTTCTTTCCCGTTTGGTTCTCCACTAGTCTAATTCTTTATGTTGCTTTTTGGGTGTCCAGGGACCCCTAAATCCTAAACCGCGTGAATTATGGGTTTCCGTTCAGGGTTTAGGGTTTTGGGAAGCCAGGAGTGCACATAGGGTTCAGGGTTTAGGGAGCTATTGTCTAAACTGCTAATATCCCCCTCAATAAGCCTTACAAACTCCCCTATATTATCCCCTATATCACCCACTTCTAGGAGTTTATTCTAACCTTAGAACCTAAACCCTAAACCTGGTTTTAGGGCAAGAACTTCAGCGCCTTGACAATGTCTGCATCACTGGATGTCTCTTCTCTCGTGTAGAACGCCACAAACCTTGGGCTCGAAATGCGGCCTTGATATGGTTTTATAGGTTTTATATGGTTTTACATTGGCTATAGGGGTATAATATGGGGGTTCCATAGGGATAATGGAAAAGAAAATTCAAACTACTATAGTCCCCTAGCATCTCTGAATGAGCACAATAGGGACCCTCCCAAAAAAGGATCATAACTTTCAGAAACTCCCACCCACACGCATACACACACACGCACAACAAACACATCCTAAGACCCTCAACTGTACCCAACCCCACCCTCTAGGGTCCCACTCCCCCACATTCTCAGAGAAAGGCTATGAAACCTTGTGCATCCCTCGCACGTTGAAGGACATCATAAGAGATGGATTTAAGGTTTTGCAGGCCTCTGAATAAAAAAACGGTCAACCCCTTTAACCCTACTCTCTATAACCCCGCATCCCTCATCCGAACCTCACCAGCCGTCACCACCAAAAAAAACCTTCCCGCTAGCTTCGTAGAGACCAGGAGCTGAAAACGGTATCTATATTCAAACCAAATATACTACAATACCAGTATTATTGGGGGCCCAACCCAAGCCAAAGCCTCACACACGCACATGCTCTGGGTTGCTGTTAAGGAACTTCAGATGTATGACGATGAGTAGGAAAGCCTAGTATCTATTATGTATCCATATCATCTTGATTTATAGCATATGTCGGTTACATCCCTACATAAGTCCAGTTTCCATGCAATGTTCCATTTTCTTTTCCACTTGATTCACCGGTATGCTATCTTAACCCTAAACCCCAAACCCTGTAATCTGGTAACTTAGTTCTAACATCTTCACGGCAACGCAGCATATTATCGCGAAGGAGGCCCCTTGCAGCAACCAAGTGAGTGGCGGTTTTCAATGCGGAGTTGAGCCAAGCAAGATTATATTCTTCCCCGAAGTGTTATATCAAAGGGACATTACAATCTTATTTCCCATCATGGCCATAGTAACATAGTATCTGAAAAGTACTCAGGTAGGTATGCTCTGTAAGCGGATAGGGACCTTCATATTCCACGTAGAATTCCCTGAAAACCGGCTTCTTTGGGAAAATCTCGTACATCCTTCAATCCTGAACCCTCTGGCCTCTGAACCCTAAACCCAAAGCCCTGCACAAACCCTGAAAACCAAAACCCGGAACCCTCAGGTTAAGGGTTTACCTAGACCCTCCAATGTAATACCTTTTTGGTAGTCCCACATAGAGTCCTTACCAAAAGGCCATACCAAACCCAAAAAGGAACTACACCCTAAACCCTAAACCCTTAGGTAGGGTTTAGGCCCCCTGCTGCAACCAAGTGGCTCCTCGAAGCTGACGATGTCGTCACCATCGGTGCTCATCTGCTTTAGGAGCGCCGCTACCTTAATTTACAGGGGGTTAGTAGGGAATAAGGGAATGTACTATAGGGTTTGGGGTTTAGGCTTTAGGGGTAGTAGGGCATCAGGGAATATAATCCATATACAATCCCAATATAAACTATTCCTCTATTCCCCACTAACAAAACCCCAAACCCTAAATCCCGAAACCCTAAGCCCTGAACCCTAAATCTATAATGTATTCCCCTTTTCCCTACGCCAGAGAGAGTGCAGGGCGAGGCCCTAGAGCTGATTCAGGGTTTCGGGTTTAGGGTTTAGCCTTTAAGGTTCATCTTGCTGGGAAACAGGCTGCGATCTCCCTATGGCGGCTGGCCATCTACTGGGTTGCTGCTAAGGAACTTGAATTAGGTCACGGTCACTATAACAAGGACATCCCAGTACTTATGACATACCCATATTTCGGTGACTTAACTTAAGTTCCTTAACAGCAACCCAGTTTACACATTCACTGCCAAACCATCCACACCTACGTACGGATTCTGGGGCTTAAGAACTTATAGTCCCCCTTAACTAGATAGATAGAATGTGGGGTATATGGAAATCCTATTATAACTATACCCACAGCCATATTTTATCTACTTCAGCGGAACTATGATTCAGGTAGGTCCGTTTGGGTCAACACCGAGAAAACTATTGTTACAGGATGAACCTTCCTTCTTCGAGAGCTCTCATATGAGTCATAGTCTTAGTATCCCCCGGAATATCCCCTATAGTATTCCCCTACATAATCCCTTACATACACCCATTTAAGGAATTGAGATTATGGCTCATATGAAGGGTCCACCACAACCCTGTCTCTGGAAGGCGGTGGGCACTAGACAGCGCTTCTGGAGATGGTAACTTGGAGGCTTGGAGGGTCAGGGGGAGTGAGTAGGTAGGTTCATAAACTCCGTGATCAATATACTAAGCCCTAAACCCTAAACCCTGTAACCCTAGTAAACCTACTTACCAAGTCCCCCTGACAATTCAAGCACTGCATTCTGGGCAAGCATGCCCAAAGAATGCAGCTACACTCGTAGATGGGCGGTCCGCATTTTAGGGTTTACGGTTTAGGGGGGAAATGGATACGCTCAGAGATTGTCGCTATTGACGCTATTGTAGTTTGACCGTGCGTGGTTTCATGCATGCATGCTTCAAGAAAGGGTGCATAGAGGTTTCAAAGATACTGGGCTTTTCAACAGGGGGAAGCAAGCCTTCTAGCTCTAGAACTCTAATGACTGCGATTCCTACAAGGGTTGCTACAACGTCTGTTGCTGCTGCTCATCTTCCTCATCCTCATATGAGTCGCAGTAGCAGTGATAGGAGCAGGAGTAATAAGAAATTGCGCTCAGGATGTCGTGAACTATTTTGAAGTTTGGAGACCAAGGAAAGAGGGCTGCGGGACATGTTGGCATGTGAGCTTCGGATTTAGAGGGCAAAGATCCGCGTTGAGAGGCGGATCTTGCATAGAACTTCAGGCAATATCATGAACACCGGGTCCGTCCCTGTAGGGGTAAGTCTTGAAGGCTTGTATTCAGGCGATAAGAGGGCACTCGCCGAGGCTTGTCCAGCCTCAGGGTGCTTGGAACCCACCTCAAAAGCCCCTCTGGCCCAGTCAGGACTTCCAAGGTTTGAGAGCTTGGGAATACCGGCCGGTGAGCATTTTCTTGGATTTTCCTCCCTGACTCCCCTGTAAACATCACGTCTTTGCCCCCTAAACCCTAAATCCTCAACCACCGTGAACCCTAAACCCTAAAGAGTAGTTTCCATTTTCTTTTCCATTCTCCACAGTATAACCCCAGTATCTAAAACAGCAGGAGCCAGATCTTAACCCTCCATCATAGATTCGCTTCCAAAAGTGGTACAGTGTGTAGCTTGACACGGGCATTGCGGCTTCGTTTAAAGCTCTCAACCCCAAAGCTTCTGATCAAGGAGGGTTTAGGGTTTAGGTTAATGTAGCCCCATGATGAATAAGCCCCCCTTTTAAAGGCCTCAACATGAGGATCCCTATTTTAATCCCTACTAAGGGGAGGGGGGTTATTAATCAGGGGTCTACATTAAAGCCTGAGGCTAAAAACTTGTATCCTAACACCTCCCTATTGCAGAAACATGAATGAGAGAGGTTGCTGAGATACGTAGGAGCCACTACACTAGCATGGTAGGGAATAGGGGAATGTATTATATGAGGTTTCGGGTTTAGGGTTAGAAGGGAATTACGGCAATATGTTGTATAGGCATTCTATAGGGATTGTATTGCCCATCTGGCAACAATGAGACATTGAAAAGCCTAAGTCCCAGCTGCTTTCTGCGTCGTGACGGTGGGGTCCACCTTGCGCAGCATGGACCCAAGGTCCTGCTTGCCTGCTTGGATTTTGTAGGTCTGAGGGCGACTTGGGTGCTGATAGGCTGCTTCTGGCAAGTCGAGGTATCTTACTGGTTCTAAGGAGGGAATTAAGGAAAAAAATGTCTATATAACCCCTATATGCTCTATTCCCGTACTCCCTGGGGTCCTTAAATCTAGCCTTACTTCATGATGCCAACTTCATTAGTGTCAGCTTGTCAACTTAACCCACGCCCAAGTTCGAGAGTTAATGGCTCGGGCAGGTTCAGGGTTTAGGGTTTGGGGGGCTCCAGGGGTCCGCCACAGAGAGAGATCGTTTAGGGTTTAGGGTTTAGGGTTGTTTCCTCTTCATGCACCATGCCCCTGATACAAAAAAACTTCTTGTTATTCAGAAGGTTGATTTTTTGTAGTTGCCCCAACCCCAAAACATGAACCCTATGGCAAATTTATTAATATACGATACGAATCTTACGTGTGTTACACAGAGGTTGGGGTTACCAAAACCCTCTCATTAGTTGTTGTGTCTTGGATCTATCTCCCTATATATGCAATTGAAATACTAGAGGGAACGGAGCTGGTGCAACATTCAGCGCAAAGGGGTTGGTGATGTGATTAGGGTCCAGAACTGGCAGCAAGCGAGCAAAGTCGCGCTCGCAGCAGCGACTGCTGCAATGATAGTCAGCCGCATGATGATTGTAATAGGCCCCCTAAACCCTAAACCCTAAATCCTAAAGCCCTAGACCCTAAACCCTAAACCCCTAAACCCCAAACCCTAAACCCTAAACCCCGGGTGCCACCTAATTCAGATTTGGAGGTCTTCGAAAAGGAAATTCAGAAGTGTCCCAAGATGCCACCTACTTCAGATTTTAGGCCCAGTGTTTGATATCCAAGGCTTCAGGGCAAAGCACTTTAAGGTCAGGAAGCATTCTGGGGTAGATTCTTGTCAGGATTTAGGGTTTAGACAGCTCAGCAAGATTGGAATCACAATGTCACAGCCGTTGGGTCCCTAACTTGCGAGACCAGTCACAAAGTAGAGGACGAGAGTTTCTACGTGAGGGGTATATATGGGCCATAAGGGACATGCGAAATTACACAATGGTATGTAAGGCTTCGGTCAAGGCCCCTACGTGGTCAGTCCCCACCTGTAGCTGCCCTAAAATCGGGCCAGCTTCAGATATTGCAGTGGTCAGAGGGCTCAACAGGTGGGGTACAGGAAGGTAGCGTATAGGAAATAAGCCCCAATATAGTGGAGTATACACTAGGGATCCTTTGACCCATCTACCCTCATCCCACCTGTTGAACCCCCTGAAGAGGGCAGCCTACAGGATCTGAAAGTCTCAGCGTCTCTTCGGAGCTGCTAAGCTTGCTGCCCCACCAAAGGTTAATCTTTGAGTTCTGATAGGAACTCCTGTACCCCCAAAAGGTTAGGGTTTAGGATTTAGGGGTTAAAGGGTGAAAGTTTCCCACTCAGCTACTACTAAATCTTCTACTGAACCCTACGCATCCCTTACGAAGAGCTCCTCGAACCCTCCAAAATCTATTTGCACCTGAGGATGCCTGATCAAACCTAGGTTGAAAAGCCTACCTACTTGGGAGTTTGTTAAAAAAGGAGTTAGGGTTTGGGGTTTAGGCTTAGGGACTCTACAGATATACAGGGATCATATTAGTACTGCGGATACTTCTAGCTACCCTAACCCTAAACCGTGGAAACTACCTTACAATCCTCTTCCACCCTTATCCCAAACGTTCTGCCGGGCGGCTGATTTTCCCTGTTCGCCGGATATCCATTTGACGGTAGACCGTCCTAAGCAGCTCCACCTTCATCTCCTGGGACATTAATCAGGGTTTCAAGGTTTAGGGTTTAGGGTTGGGTTTAGGGTTTAGGAAGTTTTCCTTCGTACCCTTAGAGTTTGTACCCTTGCGCTTGGGACCCTAAACCATGGAACTTTGGCCCTTAATAAGGGTATTTGGGACCCAAAACCTAGGGTTTCAAACATTAAGGGTACAAACTGAAAGTCTCTGACTAATGGTCTGGGGCAACGTAAGGGCCTAAGTAGCTGGAATAGGGTTTCGGGGGTACTTGCACCCTGGTCTTATAGGAGCTATATGGGAATAATGTTTGTGATAGTTCAGGCTTGCTTAACGCTTAGGGCTAGGGTAGAGCCTTGAAGCTCAGACTTTCCGACTAGTGTTGAAATCCTTTGAACATCATTTACGGCTGAAACTTTCTCTGACTCTGAACCGAGCAAGATTAAGCTGAAGGGCTCCTGAATTTCTAAGGCTTCTGGTTCCGGCTTCAGGCTTAGAGAACCAGGCTTTCGGTTTATAATTTAGGGATGGTGGATGTTGAAATGTGAATCCCTGACCCCGAATCCTGAAACCGGGGAGCAGAGGATTCTACAAGTTAAGGGGTTGTGCCGGCAGCCAGGATCTTGTACACTTGCCCTTCACTTGGGGTTTGCTTGGGGCTGTTTCTCTTGTGATTCCTTCAGGTCAGGGGCCTGCTGTAGCAAAACTACCCCAGGCCTTTAACCCCAAACCCTGAACATGGCAACTATTGAGGAATTCTAGGAGTACACCCTGAGTGGAAGCCCATCTGCAAATACTCAAGTGAGTAGCGGTTTTTTTGGTGGTTCAATCCAGTAAGATAATATTCCTTATATAAACTACTATACCCCAAAATGAGGACATAATCTTACTCCATATTGGGTACCATAGTATCCCAAATAAAATACTACTCAAGTACCCTAAACCCTAAACCCTAAACAAGTGGCATAGCCAGGCTCGGCTCAAACCTTGGCACTTGACGCCTGCACAATCAATCTTACACCCTGAACCTTGGGGTTTAGGGTTTAGGGTTTAGGGACAATTCCGGGATAATGGAAAAGAAAATGGAAACTACTACTTAGGGTTTGGGGCTTAGGGTTTAGGGCTTACTTGGGACTTAGGTTGGGTACTGCTCCCCCCCCCCGTAACAGTCTATATTAGGGATCCTATTAAGGTCTATATATAACCATATTATAATTATTATCCAACTGTTATTGAGGGGGGCAGTACTGAACCTGAACCCCTAACTGCACGGTTAGCCCTTACCCTGAATCCCTAAACTCCAAAAGCCTAAACCCTAAACCCCAAATCCCACGATCTACAGAGGCTGTCCCGCTGCCTGCGTCATTTCACGGGGCCGCTCCTCGTTCACAGCATTCCTAGGCTGCAAAAGCCCAATAAGTCAAGGATTTAGGCCGCAACCTACTGGTTCTTAGTAGGGAATAAGGGCATGGAAGCCGTGTATAACCCCTACTTAATATATTCCCGTATTCACCACTAAGAACCACCAAGTTCGTGAACTAGGCAGGAGTGTCCGACTTATCGAATGTCAGAAGGTTGAAGCGGAGATCCCAAGATGCGAAAACACAAAGAACAGGCAATAGCTGGCCTACAGTTTTCTTGACTGTAGGGTTTAGCGTATGGGTTCAGAGTTTGGGGGCTTACGGTTCGGGGTTTAGGGTTCCTATGGCTCGCGCTGGCGACATGAGTATCAAAGTCCGTTTGTCATTGCAGGGAACCTGCATGGCTTCGACCGCAAACCCTCAAAAAATCAACTTACAGTTGCTTGGGGTCCCACCTTCCACACTTTGAATTTACCCCCACCAACACCAGCCTACGGAATTAGAATACAGCCCATTCCCTTATACCTTGGCTTCCGGGAACCTTAGGTCACTGGTGAAATGGGACATAATGGGACTTTCTTTCTCCGCGCATATGTCCTAAGAACACGAGAGGATTCTGGGGTACATTCTAAAATGTCTTTGGGGTTGGGGATGCAGCAAACTTTCACATATCCAACCCTTTGACCCTGGACTCTACCTAAGGGTACCTAAAAATATGAGCTGCTCTGCCGGCAGCATGGGACCCTCAAAGTAGAGCACCAGGATTCCTCAGGTGCAACGCAACGTACTCGGGTCCTGCAGGATCTTTTATATGATGATTTCCCTAAATAGGGGGACCCCATTATAGACCCAATAATACTCCAGTCCATTTTGAGGGACTTCTAAACAGGTACCCCTAGTTTTTGGGAAACCCCGTATCAACCTCAGACCCTTCAAAGCTCATCCCTAATCCCGAATCCCCTTATCCCTCTACCTCCTTTGCACAGACCTTCTAAGCCCAAGACTCCAAACAAGAAACTCGAAACCTACAACTCTAAACCCCACACCCTCTATCATAAACCCTGAACCCAATACCCAAAACCCTAAACCCCAAATCCCCTCAACCCTAAACCCTGAACCCTAAACCCTCAACTCTAAACCCTAAACCCTAAACCCTAGACTAACTATTCCTTCACCAACTGCTACTCGGATGCTGTATGCGGTCCATGAGGTTTGAGCTGCTCTCATGTTGGAAGGCTTTGGCCTGCTTTTGCGGGTTGCTATGCTTAGGGTTTAGGGTTTGGGGGTTTAGGGTTTAGGGGTTTAGGGGTTTAGGGCCTAGGGCTTAGAATTCAGGATTTAGGATTGAGGTTCTGGGGTTTAGGCTTGAGGGTTTAGAGTTTAGGATTTAGGTTTTAGGCTGTAGGGCTTACAGTAGTCGTGATGGAGAATCGATTGGAAATGGAATGTCACATTGAAACTGGGGCCGTATCGTAGGAGTTCAATCAAACTACAATGAGAAGGAAACCCTCAAATCATTATGCTGTATCCGTGTTCTGGTAACTTCCTTTAAGTTCCGCCAGGGAAATCCAATCTTTTTGAGGAGAGGCAGAGGAGCCGACGCGGCCCCACGGCCAGGCAGGCATGTCAAGAAACACGAGTGCTATCCATGTTCACAGCTAGAAGAAACTATAGAATCCTGCCTGGCTATATGTATATCTTATATGAAGACTTCGAGAAAAGCAGGATCAGCCCCAAACCCTGATGAATTGCGCCGCAACCACAGTTTTAGCCCAAGTGCGGGGCGGACAGCCAGGACCTTTTGTCAATAAGTTTTCGAGAAGGTTCCGCCTCTGACTGTTGAAAAGTTTTGATCAGAGGAACTTTCATGATGAGGAGGGAGGGTGATGCATCTTGATTCCATGAACCAGCACGTAGAAACCTCAAACCCCTAAAAACATTCAAAGCTGGCGAAGACACGCTCAAGGGCAACATGCTCAAGCTGCCCAAATGGGAGTAAGGCAAAACTGGCATGCAATCTTCTACCGCAAAGCCATAGAAAGGATCTTAACAATGGCTTCTTCTGCTTTCCACTTCTCTCCTTTGTTCTCCTTTAGTCCTCAACCCTAGCAGAAAGACAGTTATCTGAGCTCCTACTCGCAGCACAGAAACCCAACAACTACACCCCTAGACCCCAAACCGACACCCTAAACCCTAAATCATGCGACGGGCATATGTCAAAGTCAGGGTCCCTGTCCACGGCACATAGCGGGATCCTCTACATCAGGACGACCACCCAAGAAGGGCATATCATATTTCCTTTGCGGAGGGAGGAAATCTTGCACCACCCTAAGTACCTAGCACCCCAGAAATTCCCCTTCTTTGGCGATCTATTAAACGGTGCAAATTCCTCAGCCCAAATATGACCGCTCTGAGATGCTGACTTACCCTCTATGAACCTTGCATAGCAGCGTGTAGCTGTCATCATCCGCATATACTTCCCACGTCACTCCATAGACCCTAAGCCCCAAGCCCACAGTCCTCGACTGAACCTCCCAAACCCTAGCCCTTCAGACCCCAAAACTTCGAATCCTAAACCCCAGACCCTAGACCCCAGCCCTGAACCCTAAACACCTATACCCCCAACCCTGAACCCTAAAGACCTAACCCCTGTACCCCAACCCCCAACCCGAAACCTGATACCCTGACATCTTCCAATCCGCCAAAGCCACCAGGGCCATAGCGGGCTGCAGCGCGGGTGCCCGGAGATGGCGAAACTCTCAGACGCTATTTTCCCTCGACCCTCAAGCCTAGACACTTAACCCTACACCCCTAAACCCTAAACCCTGAACCACAAGGTTTTGGAAGTATCTCTGGGATTAGTTTGTGTCTTTGAACCAAGAACGTTTGGTACGATTACCCTTGCAAGAAGAAATGCGGTTTGGAGACGACATGAAACGGTTCTGAAGCCAGTTCTCTAGCAAAAAACTACCTTTCGCGTGTGTGCTACCATGAACTGTTCACTTGTGTGCAGATACTGGTGATAGACACTCTGAGCCTTAATTAACAACAACCAAAGGATACTTGCTGCGTCATGCACCTTTCAGCCTTTGCTGCTTGAGGAGGCAAAAAAGCAACGAAGCTCACATGAATACTCTCTCACAAACTAACCCCTTTATACTAAGATTAAACACATCCCCACCCCTAATGTTATACATATCATTCATATAATACATATTTCGGGAAACATATTAAATATGGAAGATTGGGGGTGGGAGCGGTGTTATATTCGCATGAAGCGATTAGCCTGGAAACTCATGCATACAGGCCCCGAAAACCCAAACCCTAAACCCCAAACCCTAAACCCTGTAGCCTAAACCCTATACCCTAAAACCTAAACCCCAACCCCTAAACCCTGAACCCCTCCTAAATGGACAGAAGTCTTTGTGGGCCTCTGTTGGGGCTCCATGTCAGCTTGAAGAAGAGTAGTTGGTAAAGGGTTTAGGGGTATAGTGTTGCGGGTTTAGGGATCTAGCCTGTGTGGTTTAGGGGTGTAGGGTTCAGGGGTTTAGGCTCTAGGGGTCTAGGTTTAGGGTGCATCATTCTCAAAACCGATGTTCCTGGCAGATTGTAGGACCTCACTATAAAAATGGATCTGAAATGCCAGATGACCCCATGATAGAGACT